GTCATTATAGTTTTGCTCATAAAAATAGTGGTACAAAATAATTTTTACATGTCTCTACCAAAGATGCAGCACATATTAAGTGAGTAAATTTATATAATAGAAAGGTATCAGGAGGGTATTTTTATCAAGATCCTGCAGTGATTTGTTCTTGCCCCCAAGCTGTTCATTATTCTTATCAAGGATTTGGAAGGAAAAAAAAAAAAATAAATCAGCTGCTGGAAAAGTTGCAGATATGCCACAGTGATAAATAGACAAGACAAGTCAAGTCCGTGAGGCAAACTGCAACACTTGGCAAAGTGGACTCCTCTGAACATGTGTTTTAAACCAGCAAAATGCAAGGTCATATATCTGAGAACAAAGAGTGCAGATGACAGTTTACATCCTGGAAGCAGTGACTGTGACAGCCTTGGCCAAAAATAGGCTGTGGACTTCATCAGTGCATGCACAAGAACAGATTAAATCCAATCTCAGACCTCCTAAAATCTGTTAGTGTTAAATCCCTGTAATCAGTTCTCATTTGCCACATCACTCTGTTCTCAACCACTGTATAGACTTGAGTGAAAATTTGCCTGCTTAGGACAATTTTTCCCCATTTTCCCACAAGCTGAAAAAAAGCAGAAGTATCTGATTTTGAACTTGAAACTTGAATGTTTCTTCACCCTCTGCACTGCCTTGTCATCTGTAGTGCAGGTTGCTAGTATCACACCAATTACCTGACAAGAGACCAAGTTTTAGGGCAGCTCTGCCAATTTTAGGAGAAGAAACAAGGCCCTGTGGAAATCAAAGTCAAAATATCACTGAAGATCCGATGGATAAATGGTGATGTTTGATTGGAAAGGGTCACTCTGGCATTCTTGAAGCTCATAAACCCCACAAGACTGAGCAGTTAATATGGTTCTTCCTTTTAGGTATGAAAGTATTTCTCAGGTATTCAAATGGAAAAAATGCCAGGATTAAATTATCTGTGCAAACTAAAGTAATTTCCCTTGTGAATGGGGATTAGGATAGGTTCTCATCACATGACTGCTCAATTTTCCCACAGGTCCCCTACCTTAATTATTTGCCATTCTATGTGACATCTGAAAATGCAACGCAATCTGTAAGTCACTTGGATGCTCTTGGAAAACATCCCATCAAGTCACCACTGAGCAGGTAAACTGACAAAAATGAACATCAGCCAGCCCCACAGTTGGGGATATACGACAGGTAGAGAGTCAGAGGGATTTCCTTACCCTCTTGGACTTCTCCAGAAGCACATCAACCACAGGAGAAGCTGCAACACTGCACTGGTGACAATCCAGCCATTTCTATATGGAGGTTCTTGTTTGTTGGTACAAATACTGGAAAGATGTGTTGTCAAGCTCTAGAAAGATGTAGCGCACACTTACACACATACCCATGTTCCTCGCACTCCAGGATGGTTTTTATCTGAATGTTCACGTGATTGGTGGTAAAGCAGACACCCACCCCCATACCCAGGGCAGGGCTGTAGTCTTTGCATTGATCAAATGCCATATTTTCCTCTCTGCAAAAGGCTTGTGGCTGATAATTCACAGCATTTGTCAGCCCTTCCTGGTTAAAAGATTCATGTTTTTCCAGCACTGGTGAATAGCATCCCTTTTCTGAGCTTTTTGGTGAAGCTGGATTCCCTCTGTAGTCCTAATGCTGTACCTTTCCATGCTTTCTGTGGGCAGCAGTCTGTCCTCCCTTCTGGCCTGCTGAGCACAAGTCAGCTCAGACCTGAATAAAAGCACAGTGTTTTTAGTGAAGGGACCTCCAAGTTCAACTAAACCTCTCATAGCTCCTCTGTGTGACAGCAAAGATGAGGACAGAGGCACAGACTGACAGAGCAGTACTGGTTAGAGAGCTCAGCACCAGGGCACAGTGCTTATCATGTGACACATCACTTTTTGCCTAGTTGGTTGTATTTCTTTCTGTTTTGGTGTGTTTAGATTAATGTTAGGAGCTCTGTCAGAAAGGGGCAAGTCACAGAGCCTGACTGCTCCTGCCTATTCCTTGTTCTTCCAGTTGCAACCTTCCAGGAGAGCCAAGCTCTCCACTATTGTAAATGCAGGCGAACCCAATGGGAAGAAATGACCATGTCTGACTCAATTCAGAAGGCTGAATTATTTATTTATTATAACTGTGCTAAAATACATTAATATACTATATAAAGGAAGATACTAAAACTACATGCTACTTTCTCTGACCCTATTTCTGACTCTAACACAACTCCTGACCCTCTCTCTGGAGTCCAGCCCCAGGTGGGTTGGATTGGCCACCAGGCTCAAACAATCCTCACCAGAATCCAACCAAGCACTCACCCCAGGTAAACAATTCTCCAAACACATTCCACATAGGAAAAACAAGGAGCAGAAATAGAAATTGTTTTTTCTTTCATTTCTCTCTGTGCACCTCTATGAAAAATCCTGAGAGGGAGAGAAATATGCTGCCACACTCCACTTCTAAGCAGTGTCTAAGAATTGGAAGTGAAGGGGTTTTTTTAATCAAAATGCCGAAATGTCTTAATTTCTCAAGCAAGTGGATTTGGCTCTCTAACAAAAGATTGTGATTGTGAGAGCCCTCCCTGTATGGACTTTTTTCTTTTACCATCTCCCAAGCACATTTGCCCTGCTACAACTCTTGTCTTGCAAAGGCAGGAAGGCTCCTGGATTTCCTGTCTTTACCCAATGGACTTAGCATCCATCCAGAAGGCTTGATCAGGATGAAAACAATATTGAATTTTTGAGGTCTCATTTATTTAAGAGAGTAAAACGTCTTTTTTCTCGAAGTGCTTCTCTTTAGCTTTCATTTCCTGAGCACAGAATAGCTTTGTCTTAAGTACAATAATTAAGTTGTTGACCTTCCTTAGAGGTCAAAAATAGCTTCCCTTTAGAGAAAGATAAAAACAAGCAATAATAGATACTTTGACCAGTTTAAAATACTTGGTCTGCATATCCATGATGTTACTGTAGCTTCTGCAGGATATTTTTCTCAAGACAATTCAGGGTGACATGCTGTAGATCCATTTATTTTGTTAGGAACATAGTATTTACTGGAATTGTGTTTTCCCTGTTCGATTGGAAAAAAAAATTCTATTGTAACTTCATTGAGCGTGAGGTAGCATGCATATGGTCCAATGACAATGTTTATGGGATTTTAAAATGGCATTTTTACTCTATATTAGGGATTTTTTCCTCTCTAATCATCTGAGAATGTTTTTTCAAGATCAATAATAAGAATGGAGAAGCCCAGATATTTTCATGCATTGTACAAGGCAAATTGCCGTTCTTCTCATGCTGCTCTTTCTTTTTTTATGTGAACATTCACATTCTCCTTCTTGCATAAAATGCACATTTCTAATTTTTATAGTTTTCCTTAATTCTTGGTTACTTGTTTTTAAATATGACTACTAGTTTACATTAATGTTCCCAGTAGTCTGATGTTACATTCCAAATGAGATATGAGATTATGCCAGCAGTTCAGCTTGCAGGAGCTGTGCCTGTGTGCCTAAGCGAGGCACTGGGACCATTTGATCAGTTTTAATAAGTATTAGCAGCAAGTTTTACTTCTTGTTTTATGGAAATGTGAGATCTTGTCCATGGCATGGAAATTGGAGGTTGGATTATGCTTTACAAACCGGGAAAGAAATAGAAATTACTGCAGGTGGAAGAAATCTGTAAATTCCAGTGATAGGAAGCTCTGTTGTTAATTTGTGCAAATGGCAATAGATGCTGGAATTGTACAGCATGTGGGAGTAAGGAAAAGCAAACAGGCATCCACTACCACTACTGGAATAGGATAAGGCAGCCTTCATACTGTTGAATTATGAAACCTTCTATCATAAACTCTCATATTCCCTGTACCTTTCTTATTCCTTCCAGAAGCTTTTTTCAAACTTTCAGATTTCCTTTTGTGCTGCAGGCCATAGAATGAGATCTGAAAGGGCAAGGTATAGAGCCATAAAGAAGCCCAAATGTACATGTGCTCTTGAAGGAAAGAAAACTAACTCCCATCAGAGCCAAGACTGAAGTTCACTGCATTTCTTGCTGTTGTTCCTCTTCATCACTATTAATACATAAGCAATCCCCTCCTCATTCACCAAAACCCTTAAATTCATCACACTGTCCCATTATAGTAAATTAAAGTCAAATATGCCTTAATGACAGGGGGGTTAAGTGGAAAAAAGTCAGGCCTAAGCAAAGCATCTTTTTTGTTTCTGAAGCAAAAGAGCAACGCTGGTATCTAATTTTGGACCCCAGGGAAATGCCTCAACACTGAAGTGGTCAGCACCACGTACAAACTTAGTGAGAGCCTGGTATTCCCCACTGCCAGCAGTCATTCAGACTGTGTGGGTACCCCTCAAAACCCCTAAGTAAAAGCTATGGTTGCAGTTCTTTCAGCCATTTTAGGGCTTTGTAGGTAAATGTGGTCCAGCAGCATCAAAAGGCAGTTCTGTTTCTAATAAAGATTAAAAAATATTTTTGAACAACCCTCCTCGTTCCTTACTATTATACGGTATTAAAATATAAGAGCGCAGCCAAAGAGAATAGAAAACAAAGAGAAAAGCCTTTTAAAAAAATTCCACATTTTTATATCCTTTCCCTACTAACCCACCACAGAATTCAAGGGTGGGGGATTCGAGGGCTGAAAGAATCTTCATATGGTGCCAAAAATTCCCCACAGATCTCTCTGGTCCCTCAGTATTTGGCTATTTAAAGCAAACACATTGTGTTTTAGATGCTAGTTTAGATCCATTTTCCATATGAGGAGGTGGGATGTAATTAATTATCTGTTCTTTTGATTTCTAAGTATCACATGTACATTTCATAAGGGCATGTACTTTTGACAGGCTAGAAAAAGGAAATAAAATAACAGTTGCACCAGTTAAGTCTTCCGGGTACAAACGATGGATCAGCAGGGGATTGCTACCAATGCTGATTGAGTCACATGAGTTATTATAAACCTAGGGGGGAAAAAATCTGGATGAAATCACAGTATCAGAGTTTAAAGTGTTTATTTTAGTCATAATTGCACTGTTTTTACATGATGTCTTTGATCTGTAGGTTGAAAGGAGGCAAGCCAGTAGTCCACAGTAGAAGTAACCAAAGATAAACTTCTCTGTACAGTTTAAGAAAATTAAGTCCATAGTCAGAGATACACACATGAACATACAGAGCAGGGAGGTGAAACCCAAGCTTCAGCATGCCAAAAATTATAGTTCATTGCCATTTCAACTAATGGAGTCTCTTTTCTGGATTTCTGCATTTCCTTTAACCTTTATGTGCATCATGTACCAGAGAAAATCCCACATAACAAAGCAGGCATGGCAACTGAGGGAGGAACCTTTACATCCCCCATCCAACATGACAAAAATTAATAATAAATCTGCAAAACTGGAACAGACAGCTAACTCCTCCAGATCTTTCATCAGCACAGAGGTCCAGCTGCTCTTGCTCCATGACCCTGTTGGCCACAGATGGTCTTGGAGATCCCTCAGAGGGTCACCTCCAGACTGGGAGCCAAATTCACCATGACAACAGCAATTTGATGTCTATAATGACTTAAAAAAAAAAAGTAAAATGAAGAAGCAGCCAAGTCCTCCATGTCTGCTCTCATACCACGACTGGATTTACTCATCAACAGATCCAGGGAGCTGCAGCACCAAAGCAACTGGCCTGTGACCTCATGGATCTGGGGATAAACCAGAATAAACAAGCCCTATAGTCCCAATTATCTATTTTTTGCCTCTTTAATTTCTTTTCTAAAGCTAAGGAGCATCTCCTGACTGAAATGCTTGAAGACTGAGGACGTAATGATATTCTTTAATTGCACAAGTCCTTTGTCATCTTTATCTCAACCCAGAGGAGACTGGGTTTGTGGAGGAGCTATGGCCTTTATGTGAGGTGTGCTGATGTAGCTGGGAAAACAGCTACAAATTCTGTTGCACAAACCCTTCCTCTTGGGAGTGCTCTCTTCTGCTGGAAGACCAAATGTGTTTAGGGCATGCAGTGTGTCCCTGCCTGCATATTTGGTGAAAATGTTTGGGCATTATTTTGTGACTGTTCCTTTCTTTACTGTTATGCTTACGTGCGGTTTTCCAACACGATGCCCGGAGGGTTTCATGTAGGCTGATTCTCCCAAAGCCCTCTCTGTAAGAGCGAAGGAAAAGGCAGGTTCTTTTGTGGGGTGTTTCAGAGCCAGAGCTTACCACAGCTGCCCCAAAATGCTGAGCAATTCCCCTCTTGCTGAGCTCCAGGGCAGCTGAGAGGGGCCCACTCGAACCTTCCATCACCCACTGTCCCATGCACTGTCGGGCTGTGAGTAGATGTAATTGCAAAAGTGAATCACACTTTAATGACAAATGCTTCAAAAACCAAGCTATAAAATTCTTGACTCAGTTATTAACTTTAAATGAATTGTTTAGGTTGTTTCCTTCCACACCCCCCACCCCCATTAACTTATTCTTGAGGGGAATGTATTTATGGAGCCATGTGCTTCTCACATGGTTGAGGCTAAAAATAGCTTTAGAAACTCATTCCAGCTAAAACTTAATTTAAAATCCAGTTTGTCAGCCTAACACATTGGTCTTTTAGCTTGGTTTCTTTATTTGTAATGATAGCCTTGACCAGTCTTTCAAGCGCTGATTATTTCCTATACTGCTCCTCTATTAAAAATATATAAATAAACACACTCTTGAGCTCAAGGACACCCCCAAATTACATACAAAATTTATTTTCTCTGTCCATGGCCTGGACTTCCACCTGGGCAACAAGCAAACTTACTCTCATAAATACACATGTGCACTGTGGAGACATCAGCTCAGGTTTTTTGCTTGGTTTGGGTTTTTTGAAGGAGAGAGAAGCTTATCAGTCATTGCAAGTATATTGTCTAAGTACTGAATTGTTTCTCCCATGTTCTTTTTTTGTCAGTGATCAGCAAATCAGATGCTTCAAAATGTCTGAACCCTCATGGGTCAAATCCTTCTTATGTTTATTTCAATATGAGTTTTGCCACTCACTTTAAAGCAGATGCTGTAGCCCATAATAGACAATTGCACAATTCCTGGATGAAAGGGATGTTTTCTCCTTGCCCTAGATAATTAAGTCCAATGCAGAATCTTCCATTCCCATCAGTAGTTTGTTGGTTTTTTTTTTTTAAATTGGTCTTGAGATGACTGTATCCTGAGCTTCAAGGGTTGAAATCCTTTAGAAAAGAGATTTTCTGCCTGTAGTTTATGAATCTGTGGGGCAGCAACAGGCAGCTGAAGAAAACAAAAGTAATGTCAGTAGGCTCAGGAACTGCACAGGGATCCATGCAGCATTCCACATTAAAAAACAGATGGAACACCACTGATTTTCCTAATATTATGCTATACAAGGGAGAGATTTTTGTCACATAGGAATGCTTAGATTTGCTGAGAAATTTTTTGTTCTTCTAGTTTCAACACTTTTGTCTGATTCCCAGTACTCATTTCTACAGTGTTAGGCATTATTTATTTAAAAGTATGGTCCTTTTTGCTTCCAGAATTCATGTCAATTAATGATGCTGCATTCTCTTTGTCCAATAGGATGGAAGAGGTAATTTCCCTTTGTGCAAACCAGTTGCTGTTTTACTTTTCAATCCACTTGTATGTCTGCTCCTTTCCTTCCTTTTCATCTAGGTCACTCCTCACATGGGAAAGTTCCTATTTTCCTTCAGCTTTGTTTAGCTTTATCAGTTTTGGGTTGCCTGCTAAATTTAGCAATCACTTCTTAGGTTTATATATACATGTGTGTGTGTGTGAATTTTTCTGATTAGTCTACTTTTTAAAAATTTACTGTTTAAATAATTTTCAGTCAGTGGCAGAATTTTGCCCTTTCAGCCCTGATTGTTCAGTTCATGTCATCAGCTTTAGCAGGAGTCTCTCTGCAAGCCCAGATAACCATTGTCTGCTATTGTGCTGAAACAATCAAAGAATGTCAGTGGGCTGGAGAAGTATCAGATATATTTTTATGTTTTTCTTGCAAGTCCTCTATTGCTTTAAGGATTGTATCAACTATTTGATTTGATACTGGCTTCTACAATAAGTAGATGCCATCACAGATATATCCACTGCCCTACTCAAACCAGAACTGTTTGTAGTCCTGCTGCTTCTTAGAGGATTGCCATGTGTTTACTACAGACAGAATTAAAGCTGCCATAATTCACTAATTTGCAAAGATACTGTAGGTTTGATAACGACAAGAAGGAGACAAAGCAGAGCAATTTAAAAACTTACAGATCCTTTCTCCCCCAAGATGGTGTCTAGTTATAATCAGTTTTTCAGGGAGTCATTTAACATAAGTGAATTTGCTTGGGATTCTTGGGGCAGGTTGCAGGCTCAGCACCTTTAACCATCGCTGTTTTTGTTCATGAGTCTACAATCAGCAGCTTGAATTTCACACACATCCAATTGATCTCTTCACACCTAATGTCTCTAATCGCATTTTTAAGCAGGAATGACCATGCTTTCCAGTCCTTTTATATCCTGTATCTGGTTTACACATACATTCTCTATCTATTTCAGTTGGAGGGTATGGGGTTTTTTTTTTAGTTGAAACTGTTAAGTTGGTGAAATCCCTAACGAAAGGGAGGTTAACAGCAAAAGGTGCTTTATACTGTATTGATTATTCCTGCAGATTGGAGAGTGCTTTGTTTGCATAATCCCTACCTGCAGGGAGGGGGCAGCTACACCCCAGTTTCAAACTAGAAGAGTAAAACTGATGTAAAACCCCTGTGTCCTTTAGCCTCGAGGAGCAATTGGGAGTTAAAAGGCAGAAATCAGATTTCAAACACATTAGTAAATGCATGCCAAAACCTAGCGTTTAACATTAAATTATTTCTTCAGGGTATTTTAATGTGGTTGGAAGGGGCACAATACTGCCTACAAAAGGCAGGAAATTCAGAGTTAGCACCTGTGCACCATCATCTTCTGTGTGCTGGAGCTACTGCTCCTGACACTTTTGGGGTTTAGCTGCTTCTGTGTTGTCTACACAGTCCAAATTCTGCAGCCTCCTCTGGGGGGTGGCCTCCAGATTCTGCAGCAGCAAATGCCACCAGGAGTGACATTCCCAAGTGCAGCTTTCAGGCCTCTTTGTTGAAGCTGGAGTGCCCAGAGCTGAAGAGCTGGGAGTTAAAATCTGCAGCTACCAGTGTTTGCCTTCTGCTTTGGAGCCCCTTTGACTTCACCATTTCCTCTATACATCACTAGCAATGCCAGTTTAAAAAATATCCCACTAATTCAGTACACTTAAGTAGCTCAAAGTTGGAAGGTTTTAAGGGGAAAAAAAAAAAAAAAGCAATTGTGAGATTCATGATGAGAGCAGAACAGCAGATTACAGTCCACGCTCTAAGTCCCACAGCCCCCCCAGCGATTAAATACACAGCCAAAAACTTAAGTGGGGACCAAACTGGGCACAGCTCCAGGGGTTTAGAGGTAGGTGAAGATGAGAACCCTGACTTGCTGCTTGGCAGGGACAGGGATTTGGAAACCCAGGCCACCACCACATCCACAAAAATAAAGGACAGCAAATAGGAGAAAAATTCTGTTCTCTTTGAAACAAAGAGCTGCCAAAATGTTTGTGTCAGGGATTTTTTTTTTTTTTTTCTCTTGCTTTGGGCAGCTCAGGACCTCAGTCACACCCAAGGACCAAAACAGAAAGTGCAAAAATGGGCATGTGTTTAGGGGAGCTCTGTAAACACAACCCCTGCACACAAACTGTTAAGCATATTCAGGATCTGGAGTTCTTGCTTTGGCATCTCTTTATGTCCTTTAATGAAACTACTGGCAATGAGGTAGTAATATTTTTTCCCTTGGTTTGAATTTCTAAAAAGCATAATTTCAGCAATTTTTCTCTGTTCTTACACACACACACAAATTGTTTTAGACAGGAAGAAATTGCTTTAGACAGGAAGAATTTTCTAAATTGAGTTAGACTTGAATCAAATAATTGAAAACCTATTTTTAAAAAGTACTGTGGTACTTTGCATTCTTAAAAAAAAATTCTTGTATTCCCAATTGTTTTTCAGTAAACTTTCATCGGTCTGTTTAAAGTTCTGCAAGTGTGAATATTCAAATTTCAAACATCTGGCTTCAAAGTCGAGCATTTCAGAAGTACTATATCCCCCTTACTGCAGAATTGTCAGTAAAACTTCAGCAAAGTCCAACTCTTTTCTTTGCCAAGGGGCTGGTTCTGCATTATTCACTCAAATAGGCTTTTTTCCCCCATTGACTGGAAGGGGAGCAGAATCCATCCTGAAATAGTAGCCCCACTGGTTTAATCCATGACAAGAGACAAACAAATAGACCCTTTGAAATGAGTTTCATCTTTTGTGTCCCATTTGTTCTCTGCTGCAGGTGTCAATTGGATCTTTTCCTGTCTGTCTGTGGTTGAAAAGCAACATGTTATAGTTAAACCCACTTGTAAATTGTAGCATTTTACAGAAGAACTCCCCCGGGGATCTACTAAAAAGCTATTTGAGTTTAAGAACCAGAAGTCAAAAAAGGGTTCATTTGCTTTCCAGGCCTCCATCTCTCCCTTTCTCATTATGTTTTAAGTAGTTTCATGTTTAAAAAAGATCTCTCTACTTATATGTCTCATACTGTATATATCTCCATAGACAGTAAAAAGATTCTTCATAAACAGGGTCTGACCCTGCCTGCACTGAAGTTCATTTATTTGTAAATCATGGAAAATAATTTCCTTTTATAGTGGGCCCAGCCACAATTTTCCTATTTTCTTGAGCCAACAATCTTATCAACAACTTGCTTTGTGGATCTAGGGCTAGAAACTGCCTCAGAGTTTTTAATCTTGTGAAAAGGTGACTCTGGAACTAAAACTGCAAGAAGCTGGCCCAACTGCTCTGCCAGCTGGACAGACTGGTTGGCTATCAAGAAAAAACCACCAGCAGCTTCACCAGCAACAATAAGCCCACACATGTCACATTTTGAAAGAATGGCATTATGTGTAAGAAAATGCACTTGAAATGTATAACCTATTATATGATACAACTGCATAAAATGAGCAACTTTATAAAGGCTTGATCAGAGGGGGCTGTGCTGTTTACAGTGATGTGTGCCCCTTTTCTCTACCAGTCTTTCAAACCCTCCCGTGAGGATTTGTGTAGCATTGCATCACCTCCTGATGCCAATTCCAACTGCACAAGGATGTTACCAATGAATAGAGAAGAAAAATCTTAGTTGCTCATTAGCAGCAAGTAACTGGCTCTGTCAGCAAGGTGGAGCTCCAGGTATTGCTTTTTCCACGCTTGTGTTTCACACTTGCTCTTGTCTTCAGGGTACTAGAGGAGTTAAAATCTTCTACAGACAGGCCAGCTGCCTTGAATAAACATGTACTTTGATCTGCAGTGATTTCCTCAGCTGCAGGTACCAAAGTGCTGCACATTCAAATCCTTCTCCATCTCTCCCTCTCTGCGAGTACTGAGCATGGCTGCAAAGCACCTTTACAGCTGCTTGGAGGGGAGCCTCCAGCCAGCCCAGACCAGTGTCTCCATCCAAGCACAGCACTTTGCCAAGAACATCTGCTCTGGCAGGACCAGGAGAGATGTTTGTGTGATTTCCCCAGCGCCTGGTGAGCGTCTGTGCTCCCTGCCTGCTATTTGCTGGCATGCACCAATTTTGCAAAGGCTCTCTGGAGCTTTCTGCAGCTTCTCTCTGTGCTCTGACCATCTCGTTCAGACCCACTCAGACTTCCACCATTCCACTGTGGACAGTAGGTGAAGCTGTTGCTATCCAGACTGTGCCTGAGAGCACCAGCAATGTGCACATTTGTTTTCCAGACAGCACACTGGAAGGCGGATAGCAGAGAATGGTTTTCTTAGAATTAAATACTTTACATGAGAGGTCCCAGATTGTGTTTTCTTTCTCTGTTGCCTTATTTGACACAAAGTCATCCTCCACATTCCCCAGTTATTCCTGTCCTCTCCTAGCTGGGACATTCCCCAGGGAGTCCCTCACTATTTAGTATTGTGATTATTAATTTAGGTACTGAGGTATCGCAGACATGGGCACTGCTGTGAGAAACACTGCACTAAGGAAGGACACAGAAACAGCCTGTACTTCAACCCTGCTGGAAGGAGCATCTAATTCAACTGCCCATCCTTAGTCCAGGAGGAATTAATTTGACACCTCAGCAACTTAATAAAAAGCATTAAAAGCATTTAAAGCAGATGCTGTAGCCCATAATAGACAATTGCACAACTCCTGGATGAAAGGGATTAAGCATTTTTCTTTTAAATTATTTCTTCACCTGCTGTAGTAACTCTGAGCCTATTCTATGGCTTTAATGCCAAAGGTGTTTAAAGCCAAACACCTTTACTGAGCACGTTGTCACAATTCCTGCAGAACAAAGATTGACTTTCCATAAAAGGTTTTTTTCTGCATTTCAGAAAAATGTGTGTTTTAAAAGACTAGTCACAGATCATTCAGATATCTATGCAGGGAATACAGCATTTGTCATCAGACTCTGCTTTGGTGTACCAGTGGCCCTCAGAGAAAGAGGCAAATGGCAGGGAAAGAACCTGCCCTCACTCAACATGTTTCTGCCACCTTTGTAGAAAAAATTTCTTCTCTAATGACAGGACTGTGGAATTTTTCCTCCTACATAAGCTTGTGGTGTGCAGTGCTTATCTGGAAACCTTTGCTTTCTAGAAGAGAGTGTTTATCATTAGTAAACACTGTTTGGTTCCTAAAGCACTGGCTCAAAATTGGGCTGAGAAATTTTAGTGTAAATTCACACTTCAGGATTTAATTACTGGAGTATTAGAATATGCAGGTTTCAAAACCAAATGTTTCACTGATGTGGCATAATTTTGACTTGACAAAGCACTGCACAAAGATATTAGGAAACACAAGCGTTGGCTACCAAGCAGAGGAACTGACTGAGCAAAATCAATAAAATAAAGCCCCTTGATCCCCTTTCCAGGAGGTATAACTAGACCAGGCAGATCCTTACCTGTGCCAGTGCAGCAGCTCACTAGCAGGAGTTCAAGTCCCTTTGCACAGGCTGTGCTGCAGGTGTGTTAAATCACAAAGATGAAGCAAGGTGACACTTAAAACATGAGGTCATCCAGAAATTAGGTCTATTTTCTTCACCTCTGGGAATGAAGGTTTACCTGCAATGGACACAGGTAAACACTTCTTTTAGGAAACAGGCCTTCATCTCACTCACCATCACAGGATTCACTATGAAATCCTCTTTCCCCTTTCCTGCTGCAGAGTTGTCCTTCAGCCTGAATTTGCCTTATGTTTCTATTATTAAGTTTCTGACCTCCAGAGTCACAAAAGCAGTCTTGAAAAAAGCCAATTGGAAGCCAATAATGTGATATTTTCCCTGTGGAAGTGAAGAATTCAAAACCATAGGTGCAGCAGGCACAAATTGTTCTGTTTATTTCTATATTTTTTTTTTTAACTCTCAAAAACACTGGCTGCTACACTACTGGACATAGGATAAGACGTATCAGAAGCAATCAAGAAATTCAAACAATACCTTAGGGTAATTTACATCTTTTTCAGCTGTCAGCTATGCCAGGATCACCTTCTTCCTCTCTGTATTTAGCTCCCACCAGACCTGTTTGGATACTGCTATGCACTGTGTACCCACAGGGTGAGCTGCAGCCTTATTTATTTTATGTAATAATTTGAATTTAGTGATAAATTTGGCTGAGTCAAGTTGGTGGATGAGCCAATCTAATGGCTCACTGCTGCCAAAACAGGGGGCTGCCTCCCTGCTCTGGGCCAGGGGTCCATCTCTGCCACATGGGTCATTGCTGCCAAAAAACCACTGGGAACAATGGTAAATCAGTCCAGAGTCAGAGCCTTTACTCTGTTTGAAGCACTCAGCTTCACTGCACCCAACCCAGGCACTTTTGCAGTGCTAACACTCTCTTCAGAAGAAAGGCGTTTGCTGGTTTCACTGTACTTCTCCAAAGAGGCAAATTTGCCTTGTGGCAAGTTTTCATGAAAGTCAGCAGAATTCAGAGTCTTTGGGCACTTCTGAAAAACCTTGCCTGACATGCTGGTTCCCACAGTCCCATACTGCCACAGCTTGGCAAATGCTCCAGTGCAGTTGCACATCATCAGTGCAAAAATGTGCAGCATATTGAAAAGTGAAAATGTGGCAGAGTGTAAAATAAAGAGAATTTGGTATTAAAAAACCCAACCTAGCAGTAGGGAAACTGGACTGGACTGTTTTTTCTGCTTTCTCCATTTCCATATTCCATAATCCAGACTTGTTATACATTTCCGGTTTGGCTTCAGTTTTTAATAAAGTGGCTGCTGAATTTCCAGCCTGTCACACAGGCACTGCAGAATTCAGAAATCTTGACCCCAGCTGGTGGCAAAATATGTAGATGGGAAGAAAAGCACCAGTCTAGAAGAAGCAGGAAAATTGAGACCTCTAAGCTAATCAGTTCTTTTAAAAAGAGGGTGGTTACTATTCAAGTAGTAATTTATTGAGATAAAGGAACCATGAGTCACAGAAAGACTTAGGTTGCCTGCAAGGGAATGTTATTCTTTTCTTTTCTTTTTTTTTTTTTTTTTTAGAGAAGACCCTTGTGTGTACATTTGCAGCTTATTGCTAAGAGGTTGGAGCTAGAAAGCTAATCAGCCATTCTGTCTCCTATCTGCTGATCTGCTGGTGTTGGGGGAAGGGGAATGTGGGCAAACAGGCATTAAATTCCACTGGCTGGTGGGTGATGGGAAGGTATTCCTTTATAAGCAGCATCCAAGATGATGAGCCATAAAGCAAAGCCCCTGTGAGGAAGCAGGGGAAGAGGTAGGGAAAGCTTTAACCATCCATCTCAACCTAGCCTTGCTCAATGCTTGCCAGAGCAGAGGTCACCACCAACAATAATAACCCTGGAGAAGCCAGACGTATGCTTTCCATTCACCAATAATCTACAAAGCATCTCAGGGTGAAATCCTGGCTCCTCTGAAGTTGATGGGAGCTTTGCCAACGACTTCAGTGGAGCCAGGTTTTCATCCCTGATAAATTTAAAGCAACCACCAGGCTTAAAGATGAAACAACAGCATCCTGGGAGTGGGTGCAAGCTGAGGACCAGCAATACTTCTCTGAAAAGCTGTCAGATCAGGGTTCTGGAGCAATACCAGGATGGACAGTAAAGGGCAAAAGTGGACAATCAGATAAACACCAATAATTTTTAATTGCTGGGACAGCTTCAGTATAGGACCCAGTGAGTCTTGATACTGTGACACAAAACCCAGTGGTCCTTTTCACTTCTGAGATAAAGCATTTGAAGCAAGTTAGGTTGGTTTATATTATATCATACTGATTTTTTTCCTCTCCTCCTCTTATCCAGGATTTTCATGTTGGCCTTGAAGGTTGTCACCTGGTGGCACTCATCCAAAGTGAGGATTTTTCACATTTGACCAGGTACAATCAATGAAATGAGCAGAAATGTTTATTTCAGTCACTAGGACCACCCAGCCTCTGCAATGTGCTGTGTGTCAGGCAATACTTTGGTTTTCAGGACTCAGCACCAACTGCAGGTGCCTGCACAGAGATGAAGAGGGGTTGGCCCCAGGCAGTGTGATGGACAGTACCTGGGGTGATAAGCTGTGGTGGCTACGGCAGGAGACAGGAGCATCACCATCAGAAAATGTCAGCAAGGACATGACAAATTCAGCCCTGGACAAAGTTTGTTGGCCTGGAGCACTGAAGGTGCTAGAGTGTATTTTTGTTGGCAGGCTGGTGAAAGGGAGGCCTTGGGCTCTTCTGGGAGAAGAACACAGACAGCCACTACTCACTCTTGAAGCTGTGCAATGAGGAACATGGGATCTGTGAGGTGTGCAACAGGCAGGGTGTCACTCTGTTCCTTTGAGAGCTTTAAAGTTCTTCTAAAAGTTCTTATGCCTTCTGATATTTATGTATTTCAACTGAGTTTTCTCCCACATGTTCGTGTAAATAATAATTGTTTTGCACTCTTCTTTGTCGGTGGAGGAATTGATGGACTGTTGGTTTGACCAGTGTGGTTGGAGAGGTGGCAGTTTCACCCTCCAATCCACTGTCATTTTTGCTATTGTATATATAGTGGAGTCAGAAAATAAAGTTTGCTTTTTTAAGTTCTTTTCCTTTCCTTTTACATCCAGCCTGCTTCTGTGAGTTATTTCGTGTCGCAGTGTGACAGCAGCAGCTTACTGACTGCCAGCACATGAGCTGAGCTACACCACCTGAGTAGGCACTGTGGTGGCCATCACAGAACTTGGGCTCTTTCCCCAATGGCTCTTGCTATTTCCCCTGGCACTGGCAAGAAGCTGGGAGTGCACAGGAGCTGAGTCTGCCATTGTCACTGGAGGGAAGAGAAATTGAAGGTAAAAGCTGGAGGTGAAGGGGTGAAGTGTGAGCTGTGAACCTGTACAGGGAGCTATCACAGGAACACACCTCTCTTATCCCAGCACCACTGTCAGATCCACTTGCTGATCCAGCTCCCTGCTGAGTGCCCACAACCACATCCCAGGAGCAGTATTTCCCTTAGGATAGCTATGGATCTCCTCCTCCTGATGAACCCTGACTTCATCTTCCAGGGACTAAATGGTGCTCACTGCTTGAGCAAGTGTCCACCCAGCTGGGAAAACAGAACTTTCCCCTTTGGTTTTAAATCCATCTCCCCTACAGGTCTTGATTCAGCCATCTGGACTCATCGATGAAGTCATTTGCTGACTGAGGAGTGTTTGTGAATTTAAAGGGACATCTCCAGAGCATGTGCGTGCCCACTCCTGCCTCGCTGCCCCAGACAGGCACACAGGCAGCAGTGCCATTCCCAAGTGCCACTTTTACACCAACTTTTTCCAGTGGGACAAGGCTTTGGTTCCTCGCTGCCATCCACTTGCAGCTGCGAGCAGCACTGCTCTGTCCCTCCCTAGCTTTGCACAACAGCTCAATGCATTAATGTGCCACGAGGAGATGAGCACCAGTACGGGCCCATCTCATCTGGATTAAAGATGTCTTTTGGTTCAGTTTCATAAGGCAAGGGAGAACTTGCATTACCCAGAGCTCAGCAGCAGATCCATGTGTGTGTTTTAAACCAGACTGTCACTCAGACTGTTTCGCATTACGAGCCTTCAGTCTTGCTCTGGCTGTCGACTATTAAGCTCTGAAATACAGAACTCAAGTGCCAAGTTTCCACTTTTCTTCAACAGCCGGGATCCACTGGCAGCCACTAGGTATGGTCAGACTTTGGCAAACCTGAAGGCTGTGGTCATGAGTGAGTCAGAATGATGTCTCGTACTCTTCCAGTGATAACCAGGACACTTGTGCCTCTTGGCTGCCAAGCCTGCCTCCTGTAGCTGCCCTGCTTCTGCTCATTGCCACCAGGTTCACAGCAAGGGTGGCAGGAGAGCCAAGGCCAAGCGATGACAACTGAAGTACAATCAGTGTTCTTATCTCCTCAATATTTTGATTAGCAAAAAAGAAAAAAAAAGGCACCAAATTTTTAAAAAGCCGTATGACAGTCCCACAGGCTGTTATGGCTTTATGCAGTATTGAATAGCTCTGTATGATCCAAGAGCATCAGTGCCATACTGGGTATTTTTCAACAAGTGATTTCACAAGATGGGAACTGTACCTCTGACACACTCAGGGCAGACCCATGGGAGTCCCTACCCTGCACAATCATCTGTCCTGATCATTCCGACTGCAGTGCTAACATGGAGTATGTTTGTGGATTTGAAAATGCTTAAATCTGAAGGTTTGGGGCTTGTGGTTATTGGTCACAACTTTAATGATACCCCAGTGCAATGATATTAACTATATTCTTGCCTGATTCCTGTGCAATAATTGACAGTGGCTATCACTGGAAGAGTACAAGACATCACTCTGACTCATTCATGACCACAGCCTTCAAATGCTCCAAGACATGGAAAGAACCTCTTGCAAGCTCTGATTCTCCTCATGCCCCAAAAATTGGCAGTTTTCCAGGGCAAGGCTGCCCTCATGGCTCTTGTCCCAGTTGGCACTGCACACTGGAAGAACATCTCACCCTTACCTTGCAGGAAACCCTGTTGAGGAAGGACACTGGTCTCCAGATTAAAACGTTTCAGATTAGGGGATACTTTTTCCCCAATATAGACATTTTAGACCAATTCAGCCTCTCAGCTGTCACATGCTCACAGATTGTTCATATCCTCATTTTTACACATACCATTCCCAATTGCGCAAGAACGACAACAAAGATTCCAAAATTCCCATTTTTTTTGTTAGGTTGCTTTATTTATGCTTCAAGTCGATTTGAGCTGAGTTTGTTCTTGTTACACTGAGCTGCACCTTGAGCACCCACAAAGAGGTCCAGCTCCCTCAGACCAGATGCTGAGATACTGACTTAGAGCAAGTGATAATCCAACCCTCGTTTTCAAGTCCACATTACTTTTAAATCTGAGGTCCTCCCATCTGACAGAGAAAGGTTTTTCCACAGTACTAAATACAGGTCAGCAACCAAGAGGAAGAGTAAGGACTGTCAAACCCCGACTGGAGTCCCGCTAGGGATGCACAGACCAACTGAAAGAGACGTGGGCAGGGCAGATCCACCCCAGCCGAGCAGAGATCGCAGCCGGGATGCAAGGTGCAGCCGTGTGTGGGAAGGGGAGCGGATGCAGCAGTGGGGTGTCCTGGCAAAGCAGGGCATGGGGAGGAGCAGGTCGGCACGGGGAGAAGGGGAGCAGGGTTGGGGGGAACACGCTAAGCCTGGAGCAGGAGCTGCAGAGAGGGGGAAGAAAAAGGGGGGGAGCAGGGGAAGGAGGCAGGGCAGTATAAAAGCATCCGACACGTACCTCTCCCGACACAGAGCGAGGGGGCGAGAAAGTGGGTCTGGAAGCAGCAGCAGCCAGGAGGAGCGGCAGCCGCTTGCAAACACGCACGCACGGTGGCAGGAGAGAGTGCGGCGCTACCCCTGCCAGCCCTACGGCGCTGGAGGAAAGAGAGAGGAGAGATGGAGCCAGGTATCCAGCTCCCCGGGAGGGCAGCGGGCAGCTGGAGCTTTTTGCAGCCCCTCCACATCCGCCCACTATCCCATTTCCCACTGAGCCAGGGGGTGGAGAGGGGGAGGAAGAGGGACGGGAGAGGGAAGCTGCAATCTGTCCCTTTTCCCCCGGGGAGCTCGCAGCTCGAGGACCGGGAGCCGGCGGGGGTCGCGGCGCGTCCCAGCCCGGCGGGGCGGGCAGGGCAGGGCAGGGCAGGGCGACGCCTCGACGGGCGTCGGGAGGGGAGGGGGCAGCGGCGGGGCGGGCGAGGACACGGCGGCGGCGGCGGGGGAAGCTGGTTCAGGGGCCACCCCCATCCCCGTGCGCGGAGGGAGGCGATAGCCCCGAGCTCTCTCCTCCCCTCGGAGCGTCCCGGCTTCCCCGCCATGTGAGACTCGTCCCCGGCTCCCCCGCCTCGCTCTCCTCCCTCCTCCCTCTCCCTCGCACACACGCTCCCGGCTCCCCCCCGTCCTCGCAGCGTGTCCCCGCCGGCCGCCGAAACCCGCCGCTCTCCGCCGGCCGCGGCTCCCCGAGGCGGCGGGGGTTCGGCCGCCCGCTCCCTCCTTCCGACGGCCCCGCGGTGCCTCTGGCTTGCAGGGCTGCCCACAGAGACGCCGCCGGCCTCGGGTACCTGCCGCCCGCCGCCGGGCAGCGCCGGGACTCTGGCCGCCGCCGCGGCATCCCGCCCCGACGTGGCTCCGCCGTGGTGCGGCGGCCCCCGCTGCTGCTGCTGCTGCTGCTGCTGCCGCCGCTGCCCCGCGCCCGCCGCCCGCCCCACCGACGCCGAGAACGGCGCGGTCCCCGCCGCCCGTCCCGCGGCTCCTGGGGCCGCCGCCGGGACCGCTCCGGTGGCGGCCCCGGTGGCGGCGGCGGCGGCCGCCGCGGCTCCTCCTCCTCCGCCTCCTCCGCCTCCTCCGCGTCCGCCGCCGCGGGGCCCTAAAGCCGCCCGGCTCAAGAGGATGGTGCGGCTGGCGGCCGAGCTGCTGCTGCTGCTGGGGCTGCTCCTGCTCACCTTGCACATCACCGTGCTGCGCGGCGGCGGAGAGCCCCACGCCCCCACGGGCGCCGGCAACCACAGCCAGCGGCAGGTGAGTGCCGCCCCGCCTCCCCCACCACCCTCCCGCGTCCCCCGGGGCCGTCAGGGCCGGCCGGGCAGCGCGGGGCTGGCCGACCTGACGGGAGAGCCGGCACCGTGCACCTGCTCCGTCTGCCTTCCCCTCCTCCTCCTCCTCCTCCTCACGCCTGTCCCGGTGCCGAGGGCTCCCCCGCCCGAGGGCTTTCCCCGGGGTGTCCCCCGCCCTCCTTGGCTTTACGCTGTCGGGGCAGCGGTGGCAAAGGCAGAGCTGCTCCGGTGCCGCGGTTCGATGCCGTGCGGGAGGCGTCGGGGCGGCTCCCACGCGTGTTCCCGCAGCGGACGGCGGCCACCGCACCTGGGGAGACTGTGGGGCAGGCAAGGGATGGGAGCAGCCGTGTCAGGCACGGCATGTCCCACTCAGGGCAGCCCTTCGTGGGGACACAGCGTGAGAGTGGAACAGATAGGTGTGTGAGGTGTACGGTCTCGGGAAATACTGCAGCTAAGTGTATGGCTTTCCTTGGAAAGCATCGAGAGACAGTCCTGAAATAGGCAAGAAACTTAGGGTCATAAGTGCTTGTGATGTGAAGGACAGCGCTTGTGTCCCAGCTAGCCCATTCCAGTCTTTTGAAAGACTTATCCCATAAAACTCCACTGTGTATTGTGTCTGACAGAGGTGAAGGACGTTTTTTTGTTCCTTTTCGGTATTTTCGCAGGTCATTCTTTTTATTCAGTATCACATGCTGCCATTCATTTATAATACTTGGAGACAGTGATCAAAGCTGCAGAATCACCAACATCTGCAGACAAAGCTTATAAATCTCTGGTCAGTTGCATGTGCCTTGGCCAACTCTCTTCTCCTCCATCCAAGTGGTAAAATAAAATCAACTACCAAGTCATGCGATAAATTGACAAAAAATGCCATAACTATTATCACCGTAAATTTATGTAAACTGTCCATCATCTAGGTAAGAATCATAGCACCAGCAGAGTATAAAAGCCAAGGAAAAGTAAGGAGAGTGCAGGCTGTACTGGCCACTGTATGCATGAGATCCCCAGCTGGTGGTCCACAAAATGAACCCACTAGCCACAGGAGGGAACCCAGAGCTGCAGGCTCAACATCCCAGTCTCAGGCTGGAGTCAGGTCCCCCTAAGTCAGAAAACCTCCTGCTGGCCTTGGTGGGAGTCCTGCTTAGGTGTGCTGAGCCGTGCACTACAGGCAAGGCCCCACCACGCTGTCGCTGCACTTTTATCACCGGCTTGACGTTCCAGGATGTTTTTTTTTTAATATCTGCAAGATTTCTGGTAATAATGTTTTATAAATGATGCTTTCTTTTCTCATGGGCACCGGGAATGCCTTTTTAAATGATGTTCCTTGGAAAAGTAAATTTGGAGAGGTTTTTTATGAGGTGTTTGCTATCATTAGAATAATCCTGAATTTGCCTTTTCTTGACAGGCTTGTAACATAATGAGAGAAACATCTGGGCAAGTGGGAGCTCTGGGTGATGCCATTTCCCTGAGGAGCTCCTTTTAGAGCACTGTTGTAAGATTAGGGTGAAACAAGGAAAATCATCTTCAGATAATTATCCTGGATTATTATCACTGTAGTTGGCTGTCTCATGAAAACCTGTAGATTGTTGACTTCAAGAATTTTTTCTGTTTGGTGATGTTTTACAGATCACCTTAATAAACTCTGTGCCTTTAAGCACCGTGATAGCTTTAGCAGTTCATATTTTCATAACGTTTTGCCATTTGTAGAATTGAAATTCTTATGTACTTCCCAGCTCCATTGATTCCGCAGTTATGTATTTGAGAGACAACATCTGTACAAAACATTATGGGGGGAAAAGGTATTGATTAGAGCAATTGGTTAAACAGATGGAAGTCTATCAATTTTCTGGTTTTGTAACTTCCAGGGATTCTATTGCTAGGTGGATTCTATTGCTTTAGAAAGTTGCACTTAAGCAGGCAGATTCTTCCATTCAGAGCATCACAATATAAATCTCAATGAGAAGTTTGCACGGGGATCTTCTGATTTTGGCAGGTTTTGGGCTGTATCATGGCATGTGCTGAAGTAAATGCAAAAATCCTAGTGCACTGCACTCACAGGGAGGGAATCAGTGTGGGAAAGGAAACTGCACAAACTCAGACTTGTTGTTATAATAAGCACTTAGACATCTCTCAGGGTTTCTCTGTCCTGGTAGATCTGTGGAGAAGAGTGATTGTGAGAAGTGAGTAGATCAGTGTTGCATTTGATGAAATTTCACTTGAAGAAGTGTGGCAAATCCAGGAAAGAGTAATCTTTGCAACAACTGTTTATTAGACATCTTTCGACGTGGCAAATTTGTATCAAAAGCCCCTGGCAATTATCAAACAGAGAATATGGTGTATTAGGACTTAGGCAGCCTGTTTGCACAAATGAGGTAGTCAGAATTGGGTCCTTTTTACATAAAATGAATTCAGGATGAATCCTTAGTAATCTTAAAATATTATTGGAGATTTAAATAGTCTAAAACACTTGTAAGCATTTGAAGTCTGACTCAGTAAGAGAGGAAGAACTTCTTTTTCTCCCATCCCTTGGTCCTTCAAATGAAGGAAGGATTTTGTAGGATAGTTTTTGTAGGATAGTTTTTTATTTTGGTCTTTCAGTGGCTGCAGTTTCATGCTGCTGTTAGACCTGGGTTGTGGCAGGGCAAATGAGCACAAAATGGGAAATCCACATTGGAGCTGTAAAGTAGCTCACAGTCTTGAGTTATGAGAGGGAATCAGCCTCGTGTTTCTCAGTCAGATTTTATTCCCTTCCTTCCATCTCTTCTGACAGGAAAAAAAAATGGAGAACTGGGATGGGGAGAGATTTTTTCCTGCTGAGAATTCTACTAGGTCTAATTTAATTACCATCCAGAAGCTGTTCTGGAGCATATTTATGAAATAAAGAAGTACAAACTTTCTTTTCTGAAGAAGAGCAAATGAAGCTATATTAAGAGATGGAAAAAAGCAGCTTGGGTATACTTTTATCTTTTTACATAGTTCTAAAACCAAGGGAAGGCTTGAACATAAATTTTGGAAGACATTTTTAATACTTTATGATGCTCTAAAATCTGTGCTTTCATTCTGAGAGAAAATATTTCATCGTGAAGTTTATCCCCTTCACTTCTTATTTTTCCACAGCAGGCCTTGCACACCAAGAATAACAGTGTTCCCACACCAAGAAAAATGACCTTGTAAAATGCAGTAACAGAGCCACCAACAATATATGCCATAGCACATGAAGTCAGATTCTCCACTGTGATACTTGCAGCAGTATTACATTAGCCTGAAACTCAGTAGTTATGCCTAAAACTGGAGCCATGTAAGAAAACATAATTTGAAAAGCAACACAATGCTGTAAACAGATTTTTTTTTCCTTTTAATCACCCTGCTCCTGCCCTTGTCCCTGTCTTCAATAAGCGTGCAAGCAATTACACCATGTTGGAAATGTTCTTTGAGCCCTACCAGAAAAAACATTGTGCTGCTGATAAATGGTTGCACAGGAGTCGCTCTCCAAGCTGCGTGAGAAGCCCTTTACAGGGCTGAGCTCGTAATTTTCTCCCAAGATCCCCAGTTCAATGCCATGAGTAGTTTAGCAGTGGTGTGCTGTCTGCTACCTTTGCTGGGGTACATTTCAGTCTTTTCAGGGCTTCTGTGTTCTTGCTGACCCTTGTCCTGCATTCAGGCAATTTGTAAAACTATTTCCAGTCAGATACAGTGGCATATTTCAGCTTTCTGGCTTCCTCAGTTAAGTAGGACTCAAGCTGTTTACTTTGGGAGCGTTTTAGACTTGGGTTTTTTGAAGCTAATTTGAGCTCTGGAGCTTTACATTTGTTTTTTTCTATTAGGAACTGATCATCTAAGTAATCTTTGAAATCCTGTCGATTCCACATTCTGCCTTCTTGTTTTCCAGACTGCCTTTAGCGTGTTTAAGGTGCCAGTTAGTGGATGTACATTGTGTATTTACTAGGAACCCTAAATCCTTCTCTGCCTTAAGAGACATTTATGCATAATAGCTTTCAGAGCAGGTGGCTTGTGAATTGGCCAGGCTGATTCTCTATAACCCAGAATCTCTTTTGGTGAGCTGGTTCCTCATCGCAGGGGATGCTGTTTTGCACTTTTTGGCAGTGCCAGTGAAACCTGCCTGTTCTCAGCTTTTCTATATGGATTCTTAACTAAAGGTCACCCTTTGGCATATGTACCTCCAGCTATATACTAAGATTTTGCAGTGGCTTAGACCATGTGTAGTCCACTCTCTCATCTCCCAAGGGAGGGAACTGTGTGTGCTCTTTAGTGGTTTTGCTGTTGGGCTGTGGCTTGTTCCAGGATCCAGGGGGAAGGAGGGGTGATTAACTTTACGTGTGCTGCTGCTGCAGGCATGGAAGCAAAGGATAAAATGGGAAACAAGGGTGAAGGGTTGATGCACTGAGCAGAGGACCATTTTCTGGCATCCCTGGCTCCCAGGAGAGATTCTTTCTCCTTTCAAACCCGGCTCTCAGAAATCTCCAGAAAGCATTAATTAAACTTCTCTTCATACCTATCACTTTGATTAATTTCATAGCAAGCTAAAATATAATTGGTGAGAAAGTCCTACACCCTCAAGGTAGGATGTGGCAAGATTTTTAGTATCTTAGACTACTGCAATAATTCTGAACAGGTATCCAAGAATATTTTAGGTATGGCTGCAAGGAACAATATTAGGCAGGTGTGAATGTAACTTCCTGAATTAAATTTTACCAAGATGTTTGGATGAGGCGTATTTTGCTAAACGTTTCTTAAGCTCAACAGCTAACAGTCACTGTACTGCTTATCTTGGATCATCACTGATAAATACCTGGCATTAAATCACAAGGTGCCTCTCTGTTTTGTCTCTGGTTTTTTTTTTGTCCCATTTCCCTGTTCTGTCCTTTCCTAGTGTCAGCTGCCCACAAAAAGAGGAGGCCTAGAGCTGCAGCTCTGCTCCTCTACAATTTCTTCATCATTGTGCTG